TGGTGCAGTGTGGTGTGGTGCAGTGTGGTGCAGTGTGGTGCCGTGTGGTGCAATGTGGTGCAGTGTGGTGCCGTGTGGTGCAGTGTGGTGCAGTGTGGTGCCGTGTGGTGCAATGTGGTGCAGTGTGGTGCCGTGTTGTGCCGTGTGGTGCAGTGTGGTGCCGTTTGGTGCCGTGTGGTGCCGTGTTGTGCAGTGTGGTGCAATGTGGTGCAGTGTGATGCCGTGTGGTGCAGTGTGGTGCAGTGTGGTGCAGTGTGGTGCAGTGTGGTGCAGTGTGGTCTGTGGTGCAGTGAGGCGCAGTGTGGTGCAATGTGGTGCAGTGTGGTGCAGTGTGGTGCAGTGTGGTCTGTGGTGCAGTGAGGTGCAATGTGGTGCAGTGTGATGCAGTGTGGTGCAGTGTGGCGCAGTGTGGTGCCGTGTGGTGCAGCGTGGTGCCGTGTGGCGCAGTGTGGTGCAGTGTGGTGCAGTGTGGCGCAGTGTGGTGCCGTGTGGTGCAGTGTGGTGCCGTTTGGTGCCGTGTGGTGCAGTGTGGTGCCGTGTGGTGTCGTTTGGTGCCGTGTGGTGCCTTGTGGTGCAATGTGAAGTACTCCGAATTGAAAATTAATCAAATATTAATATAATAATATCTTTAAAGTTACTTATTACTTTATTATATAGTTATACGTCTTGGTATAGGATGGAAGAGTTAGATTGCCCACGAACTATGATCAGTATTTGTAGTCTGAGCGTCAGACTACCCGGTACCACTGATTTCCTGAGTCTCAAGGCAGGGTTATTCCTGACAACAGGTTGGTACAAGCAGTGAGCTTCCAAGTATAATGATTAGCAGTGACAGGGGCGGATATCTGCAGATCATGTCTAATTAATTGCGGTGCCGAGACTAGTAGGTCAGTACTACTGAATATCACCGGGTTAGAAGTATAATTCACTTCCTCGCCAATCCCCCCTCCATGCTGTATTGGGTTCTTAATCTTACTCTAACGCGTTTCTAACCTGCACTCTAACGCGCTGCGATATTCACCTTATGAGTCCACAAAAGCTAGAAACTCACCATTAATGATGCTCGAATCGACGGATCATGCGTGAAAATAATAACAGCCACCCAATGGCCACCCACTGGCCCCAGGTTCAGAGAAGTAGTTCATTACAATAGTCTTGATTGCAATGGTTTTGATTGACCTCCTGGCAGATGTTTCATTATTGGGATTATCAGAATATTAGATGTAGTGCTTACCCACTATATCTTACTACATCTTACTATATAATATAAAGCGAGACGATATATATATATATATATATATTATATATATATTATATATATATGTCCGTACCATTTTACTGACACGACGGCATCAACTTAAACACGACTTTCCGCAAAAATTGTACAAGATATTATACTGGTTCAAATGCTATAGTTTTACATGTTACATGTTACATGGCGAGATCTCCATCCAAAAGGATTAGTCTGCGTCATCTGCGTCATTACTTTGTATTATACAACTTCGGCGGGTAATATTTCTCCATCCTTTTCGATCTGCAGCCAATCTTCTCATACAATCAATCGTGAGTCCATTACGATCCAATCTCTGCTCAGCATCTTCAATAAACACATCATTTAAGCTCTTCCTAGGCCTGCCTCTTGATCGTTTCCCATGCTTCGGTTTCCATTCAAGTAGATAGTAAGGTAACCGATCTTCAGGCATTCTACTGACATGTCCAAACCAACGTAGCCGTTTTGTTGCTATTATGTCAGTAAGAGCAGTTATTGAAGCCCTTCTTAAAACATCTTCATTTCTTACTCGATGGAACCACCTCACTCTCAGGATTCTGCGTAAGCAGTACAGATGGAAAGACTCTAATCTTCTTGTCTGCACTTGAGTCGTGTTCCATGTCTCACTTCCATAGGTCAGAATGGTAAGAACAGCTGCGATGTAGATTCGCACTTTGTTGTTAATGCTTATGTTCTTATTCTTCCAAATGTTATTGAGTTGGTTAAAAGCTCCGGTTGCTTTTCCAATCCTGACACTTATTTCTTTATCGATCTTGCCATCCGATGTAATTTTGGCACCCAAATAAGTGAATTGAGTGACCTGCTTTGCAGAGTTTCCATCGACAGTAATATCTATGGTCCTATTCTCTGGGAGTGGGTGCTGCGACGTATCTTTCCCAATTACCATGATCTCTGTTTTCTTTGCGTTCATCTTTAAACCCCCAAGCCCACAGTATTTCGCAATATTGTCCGTTGTTTCTTGCAGTCCCTCGACAGTGTCATCCATGCCTGCTATGTCATCAGCATAGTCCAAATCAATGACACATTTTTCTGGTTGTCTGGAACTTTGTCTGTACTGAAGAGTAAAACCACGCGATATATTTTTAAACTTCTCGGCAAGTTCTAATCCCCAGTTAAGTACAAGGTTGAAAATGGGAGGCCCTTGCACACCACCTTGTCCAGTCCCCGAATCGACATCAAACCATCTTGTCAATTCCCCATTGACACGAACTGCACTTTCAGTTGCTCTAAAGAACGCTTTGAATTTTAGTTTTAGTGCCCAAAATTTGAACCCCCAAGTTTAAATAGTGTCAAAAACGCAAATTAAATAGGTAATAATTATTTTAGTCTCGGCAAGTTCTAATCCCCAGTTAAGTACAAGGTTGAAAATGGGAGGCCCTTGCACACCACCTTGTCCAGTCCCCGAATCGACATCAAACCATCTTGTCAATTCCCCATTGACACGAACTGCACTTTCAGTTGCTCTAAAGAACGCTTTGAATTTTAGTTTTAGTGCCCAAAATTTGAACCCCCAAGTTTAAATAGTGTCAAAAACGCAAATTAAATAGGTAATAATTATTTTAGTCTCTTGAGTCTTGGCACCACTTAAGGGTTAGACGGGTTCCTGCTAGTATACATACTAGCGAGACGATATATAGAGCGAGACGATATATTATATATGGAGATATGGGTGCCATTTTACTGACACTACGGCATCAACTTTAACACGAATTTCCGCAAAAACTGTCAGAGATATACAATTGAAACTTTTTTGGCTGGGTCGAATGCTTTTATGGCCTTTTTATCAGAATGAAGAAATTAAAAATTGGCCAAGGAATAAGAACTTTAGGTCCCGAAATGTGGACTCCCAAGTGGTGAAAAATCAAGAAATTAATAATTATTGCCGTCTTTTGACACCATTGACACCATCCTGCTACTACCTTACGAGACATATTTATATTCGACATAATTCTGGTGACCTAAATGTTTTGGGAACGAAAATATGGGATTTTTAACGTACTATATTGATAGTAAATCGACAAAGTCATAATTAAAGAAAATACCTGAAAAATAGTTTGGGGAAATAATAATGGTGACCTAAATTTTGGTAGTCCGAAAATATAGACTTGTTTTTTTGGAAAACCACCGACTTTCGTATCTTCTAAATATGTCTTTTAAATATGTCTCGTAAGGTATATAATAGTGGGTAAGCACAACATCTAATAATAGTCTATTATGAGATGTTGTAGTATATTCACGGTGTCGAGCGAACGTTGTCCTTTTTTGGTCTTTCCACGATTTAGTCACGTGATTCATGAAAATTTTACAACATTTTTATCCTAACTCAAATTTTAGCTGTTTTTTATCCATTTAGCCAAAAATTGGGGAATAAAGGGGCGTCAAGATTAATGAATCATTAATAATGATTCCTCATAATTTATTAACGAGACTTAAATTATATTCCTTGTGGTAGCAAGACCGAATCACCGCAACCACGAAATTAGTCCTGAGCTGTGTTTGAGGAATTCAAATAAAACCGCTTATAGGACGTTTAGAGTTTAGTCTGTGAGTATGATCTTTAGTATTACCGTATTATAATACACTTATAATGAAGCATTTCATCTCTGAATAGCTTTGTTATAGAGTTAGAGGAATTTCAAGGGTAGGTACTGCCTACTACATTCCATAATGGCATATAATGTGTCGTACGTAGCCTTGGAATTTCCATGTAATACAAGATACATCATACATTGCCACATTGATCTATGTACGCACTTTGTTGAACTAGAATGCCATTCTATTCATGGAATTTATATTCAAAGTAAGAGCCCCAATTTATTGAACCGAAAACTATTTGATGTCTGAAATTGTAAACATTTCGTCGACAAGCCTACCCAATGCCTATTGTTTTTGTTACCGATTGTTTCCAATTGCGCTCTTCAGTTTCAAGTTATCCAATCATATCATCACAGCTTTCTGCTGTTCTCTCGTTTCCGCTCACCCACTCCTCAGTGGGCTGTTCATTTGACAGAGTTACTGGCTGGCACTCCCAACATTGTCTCACTCACTATCACTGCCCAATCAAAATCATTGCTCTAGAGGAAAATTGAATCTGCGAAATCACTTGACCTCACGCCGATCACGCCGCCGCCGATTTCAACCACTCCGCCGCCGTTTAGAGAAAAAAAACGGCGGCGTGCAGCACTGTTAGAGGGATATTTTCAGATATTCTCCTGTTTTTTTAGAAACTGCCGCTATTTTCTTCTCGACCATTCCAAATGAAGCAGCTTGTCAGTTTGAACTTTTTAACATATTACCCCATGCCCAACTGTTTTGCAATATAACTTGCCTTATTTGCTCTAAATCAAATCGCATCACAGTTAAAGTTCTGTTGGAGCTATATTATGCTCGCGCAGATTATGCACAGCATAAGCCATGAGACTGATATTGATTTTATTTTACTGACAAGGCGTTTACTCGCTACGACGCGTAGGCGAGGAAGGTGGAACACGTCAAAGCGTTTAATATTAGGGTCAATACTTTTATATATTTCTATATTATAGAGCTTGCAACTGACAATTTCACGACAGGTGGAAGTGTTAAATTATTAAAACCATCAAGTTCGGTACTCGGTACTATAAGAGAATCAAAAATGGTATCGATGCTTTCGAGCAGCGTGAGAAGTTTTAAAATTGACACTTCATGTCAAATTATTAAACTATAAAATCCTTTAAATTGAGTGTATTTGAGGTATTTTACCGGAGGTTCCGTTAGCGAGATCCATTACAAAGCCAGGTGGAAGGTAGTGAGGTATGGGTTGATGGGATGCAGGAAGTGGGAGAGTCAGGGTCTCATCCAGGGGGAACGAGGGAGGCTCGTCTACTAACAACCTGAGGCAATGGGATCAGCTAACATACTTCACATTGTATTGAAGTATTGATTTTTTTCTGCAATTATTGTCGTTTTGATTTACACTCATTTTCATTTTTTGTTGAATCTGTGAAGTGTGTGATTCTCTGCGCATCTACACTGTACATTGACTACTGTACAGTGTATATTTGACAATAGAAACCCATCCTACCGTCGGGCACCAATATATCAAACTGCACTGTACAAGCTGGGACTCTGTCGTTTGCTTTTATTAGTGGCTGCTTTATTACCAATCTAACCAATGACACTGTCATTAACTTTAAATAATGAGCTACAAGCAATTTAGTTAAGTATTCCAAGCCTCTGAGTGTTCGCTTGTCCGATGTCTATCATATTTGCTCTCAGGATTTCTGGCATACTAATGACGTATGATCGTATAGGATCATAATATAAACTAGGTGGTAATCATATTATTACCTATTAGGTATATAAACGCTCTTTCTGTTCTATTTGCTGATCAAAGTTTTGTTTGGGGAGTTAGCGCCTAATCGGAAAGTTTCTCACAACATAGGTTAGGGCGAGGATTTAACACTTTACTGTTCGGGTTAATTCTTTATACTGCAATTGCTTTTACGCCGTTTCATTTTGTAAAATATCATACCCTCTTTATAGCATAATCTTAGCTTCTTATAGCTTCTTATTAGCTTCTTATAGCTTCTTATTAGCTTAAATGCAGTATTTAACATTTAATTCCAGGATTTAAGTTATAACTTATGATCAGGCTTGATACTTTGAGAGCTTTTCTGCGCCTTTAACCATCCTATACCTGTATAAAGTAGTGTTTTTGTGCTTCGCTCCTGGTTGAAACAGGTCAGGGTTATCAATAGCTGTTTGAGCGAGAGTCCATACCTGAAGAGGTTAGAAAGTAGTTAATATATATAATATATCATATATATTTATTGTTTCTCACTGCTCTTAAAATTTAATGAGTTAAGATTGGAAGGTCGATTTCATCTAGATTTGTGAGACAATGATTCAGCGCAACAAAAGCTTGAAAATGTGACGCATCTCGCGTTCTTTGAGGTACAAATAAAGATTTATTGAATTGAAAGGTGGGTTGAGTTCATCTAGCTTTGCGACACAATTATTCGGCAGAACAAAAGGTTAAGTTGAAAGCATGACGCAGCTCAAAATTCGCAGTAAAAATAAAAATTGAATGAATTGAAAGGTAACCACAATTCACTGCAATTTTCAAAACAATGATCCTCCAGAACAAACGCTTGAAAGTCACAGCTCAGTGCTCATTGTAATAACATCTGGTTGAATTTGTCAGCTCCAGCTCAGAAACTGAGTTTCTTACCTGAAGATCCTGGAACCTGACCGGGTCCCAGGCCTGTAGCAGGGGTGTTGTGTTCATACGGAGACACACAGGGAGTTGAAAGTCACCACGGTAACGCGTCATGACCACGTGATACATCTGATAGATTAGGGTGGTTAGTGAACACTTGTCAGTAGACACACTAGTCAGGTGTGATCATCATAAGTTGTTTATTATGGTGTTTACTGACTATCTATTCATGATGCTAAATAAAACATCGATATCGTGATCTTCAGATTAGTATTTCTGCAGTTCCACAGTTTTCGTTTTACGAATATTTCTAAGCTGAATCAATACATTCGATTGATTCGTCAATATTCCAAATTATATTCAGTAACCAACTATAAACCTCACCGCCAATTGAAGACATTCACGATCACTGAGAGCTCGTAGAGTTAGATGTTCCTCTCCCAAATTGCAGACCGAGCAGATAAAAATATTGTTCTCCCCGAACAGCATTGGTTTAGCACTACAGCTAACACAAGCCTGAAAGAGGTAAAAGTTATTTAAAAATATATATCACGTTATGGTTCAAGGAGTTTAAAGAGGTTGAACTAGGTTAATTGCTCTAGGGGATTTACGCAGCAAACCTTTCCCAAATAAGAACAATTGGCCCTTTTGAGACCTTTTAACACGTTAAATTAAAGCGGCTTTCATTTATTTTTGGCACGAGATAGTCACAGACGCACTTAGTCTTTTATAGTTTAATGCAATTTAGAACTAACAGGTCTGGGTGGGCCAAAAGTCATTACCCATACGTTGGCCTTTATAGCTCAGTCACTGAGTGCCCAATTGAAATAATTCTTTCTGGTATGACTTACTACCACCACTGGTTCGGGGAATTTGTCAACTCGAAAAATATTCGTGTTCATTTTTTTCAAATGAAGATTCATTTTCGCATTTATTTGATAATTTGGATAGTCGAATCGTGTTTGGCCATTCGAATGACGTTTGTCCTGAAAAAATTAGAGTTATAGCTTCTCAGATGACCGAGATACGAAGCATAACGAGTTTATTCATTACGTGAGATCAGGTGATTGGCTTACCTAATCACGTGATAAGGTGACCCCCGACCCCGGTAACTACCCCGTTGAACATTATGGAATCGTTAAGGCTGCCCAATTAAGGTGTCGTGTCACATAATCACCCAATCAATTTTGCTAACGAGATACACAAATTGCTTGATAATTTCGTCATTTCTAATCTGTTTCACATAATTTTTTCAGATCAGATGCAAAATGTAATAATCTACCGTCTCAGAAAAAATTAGGCGCCCAACATGTTCACAGAGAACAATATAGGTGTTTTAATATTGAATGGGCGTGGTCTAAAATATTCGAATTTTCAAATTTTAATGACGGAATCCTCGAACAAGTTATAGGTACAGTATGCCATCTGCAAAGCAACAACTCTCAAATATAAAAGACGGCGGAGGTATAAGACCCAACGTATGGGTACTGACTTTTGGCCCACCCTGTATTTGAGCTGTTTAAAAAAAATTGAATATTGATAGGTTATGGGAACAGGATAATGGTTAATGTTATGACAGCTTCAAGACTCCAGAGGTCTGTTGCATTGGGGGGGGGGGGGGCAAATTCTAAATATTTTGTGGCGCTTCGCGCCACAGCCTAAATTTTTTGCAGCATGTGCTGTATCGCGATTTTTCAGATCCTGGCCTCACGACAAATCGCGATTTTTTCAGTTCTCCGCATCAAATTGCGCATTTTCCTTTAAATCTGACGTTTTCTATAATTAGTAGGTATATGAAACCAATCAGTATTACATCCACAACCTTCCGAATGTAGGTACGGACTTCAAAATACCGAAAAATTATATATTTTCGGCTCAGAATGATCAGGGTAGCTTTGGTATTTTGCATTTAAAACGAATTGATTATAACCTTCGAGGCAAGACTACATCTTCAATATCTTGCATTTACGTTTAATAACTTCATTTACGTTAACTAAAAGTAACTTCAGGAAAACTGACACGTCGGTTGAAGTTAAGGGGGCAGGGGGGCCTTTATGGAAATTCTCTCGAAATTGACTTTATAGTTGTTTCTGATTGAGGGGAGTGATATATATCAGCTGTTTTTGGTCCTATCATGGAAAAATATTGTTCCTAGCCGAAATTATTGCCAGTCAAAGGCCAGCTCTTATGTGTAATTGTATTGTGCGAGCGATTTTCAATCGCGCGCCCTGAAAATTGAGTCTAAAAATATATCTTCTCCTAAATTTGTTTAGCAATCACCTTGAAACTTTCAGGATATTATGTTCTAAGGACCATTTAGGAGATTCTGATTTATCAGAATTTTAAAATAGGACTTAGAAAATTTTTTATTCGATTTTTAAAAATATCTTGGACCTTGTTTTTCAAAATCGAATAAAGGCCTTTTCTGAAAGGCCTATCTTAAGATTATGATAGACCAGAATCTTCTAAATGGTCCTTAGAACATATCCTGAAAGTTGCAAGGTGATTGCTCAAAAAATGTAGGAGAAGATAGATTTGGATAGACTGGATTTTCAGGGCGCGTGATTGAAAATCGCTCGCACAATACAATAACACATAAGCACTGACCTTTGACCGGCAATAATTTCGGCTAGGAACAATATTTTTCCATGGAACTAAAAGAAGCAGATATATATATCACTCCCCTCTATCATAAACAACTATAAAATCAATTTCGAGAGAAATTTCATAAAGTCCCCCCTGCCCCCTTATGCAAGTTTTCCAGTTAAACGATATATCATTCACCAATCACTTTATAAGCTTTCTAAGTCTAAATATGGCGACAAACTTCACGTTAATATCTAGAACAATTATCGCGCGAGTCTCTCAATTTTGTATGAAGCACTTTAGTCCTGGATATGCTGCACTGGTATGATTAGTTTATCGACTGCTTCATCGCGTCTAGTCGACAGAATTAATAACTTCCATGATAGAGCTTGAAGTCTTGAAAGTTGTGCAAATGTTCAGAGTTGACTTAAAATAGTTGGGTGTGCTGATATTAATAAGGCAAGATAACTTCCCGTGAAGCACGGGTTGGCCTTGAATAGGATTCGGCGACAGTTTGCATCAAACGGAGCACCGTCTTATAAATATTAAGTATCTGATGCATTAAGCATTTCTGTTTTATTGCTCCAGGAATCGTACGTCGTACATTGGCTTTGAAATAGATATTATTCCGTTTGTGTTCGTAAAGTTCGGGAAATGGTTTTAAGGGATTTTAAGGAATTTCAGATGAAGCAAGCTGGCTTATCCGGAATCAAAGGAAATTCAAAGCTTTTATAATATTAATGTTTTTCAAACAAAGTTACAACGAATTCTTCATATATCTTACTATATATAAAGCAAGACGATATATATGGTTCCGTGCCATTTTACTGACACCATGGCATCAACTTTAACGCGACTTTCCGCAAAAACCGTAAAAGATATACAACTGAAACTTTTTTGACTGGGTCAAATGCTTTGATGGCCTTCAAATCAGCATGAAAAAGTAAAAAATTGGCCAAGGAATAAGAATTTTAGTGCCCAAAATTTGGACTCCCAAGTGGTGTCAAAAACGCAAATTAAATAGGTAATAATTATTTTAGTCTCTCGAGTCTTGACACCACTTTAGGGTAGACGGGTTCCTGCTAGTATATAGTAATGCATCCTGGGTTTAGACAGGATATGCCCGTTTAAAATATTTCCATCACGTTACATTACATAATTCTCAATAAATGTAATAGATTTGTAGTGTTGTAATTAGTTTAACATAACATAATATTATTTGATAATATTAATATAACAGTTCTCCAAATCTTATGCTTTTTGTTTGTCTGATAACTGAAAGTCCACTTTAATTGTGGCATTTATTATAATAGCAGAACGAGTTAAAGCTGGTGATTGCGATCAAGGCACTTAATGGACACATTTTGCAATCATAATGATTATATGAAAAGGCTGATCAGAAGAACAAGGAGAGACAAATTTTCATTACAATATTAACACGAAATATAATATTATAACAATAGTTTTCCAAATCTATTGTGTCAGATAGTATAAAGATTTGAAGTTGGTAGATTGTGATCGAGGCACATGATAATGAACATATTTTAGAATCATACTTCATAATGATATTATTACTGATCTGCATGTTTATTTTCTGACAAAGTACTCTACTTAGATAAATTATTAATCTTGAACATATTAAGCTCGTAGTTGGTAGCTGGATGTATCCGTTGTTTACTTTAAGATGGTAATCAGAAAAATCAAAAAGAGGTTAAAAAAGCTAAAAAACTAATGTCTAATCTTACTCTATATTTTAGAGCCCAAAATTTGGACCCCCAAGTGGTGTCAAAAACGCGAATTAAATAGGTAATAATTATTTTAGTCTCCTGAGTCTTGACATCATTTTAGGGTTATACGGGTTACTACTAGTTATTATGTATTTTTTTTTATTGAAATCTTTCAAATCGATCAATTACATACAAATTTACACAATGAATGAACAACATTAAATTTTCTCAAAAGTATAAGACTCCGATAAAATCAGATTTTCTAGGACAAAATGTATGTAATCAAAGGACCTGAGGGTCACCAAAACACAGATGTTGAGAGCAAAATGCACCTCCTGCACAAGTATGGGCCCACGAAAATCTTTAATTTTAAATAGAATTTCAAATAAAAACACACAAAAATATCAAAAGCAATCAAATCATATAATAAAAGGCCCCTTCCAGCCATTGCCACCTGCCACCTAATTTGGCAGGTTTTACATTAAGACTGACAATCAATTTGAAGTCTTAAAATGATTCCTGCAAAATTAACCGAAAACCTGCCTATTTATCGTATTCGTGCAGAGATTTATCTCACGTAATTATTTAATCGAGTTGTTGATTAATAGAAAAGCCTGCAAAATTAACACAAAACCTGCCTCACCTTTCACCTACTCTCGGCAGGTTTGCTCTATTTTGGCAGGTTTTCCGTTAAATATAAAGTCGAATGCTGCAGATTTAACGCAAATCCTGCGTAAGTTGAGATAATTTGAATCAACTTGTGGCGTGATTAAACCTATATTGGCAGGGGTTTTGGATAATTTGAGTGTACAATGTGGAATACGGTAATGATCGTATAACCTTATTACTAGGTAGGGTGTAGGACTGAGACTTGGTTTGTGCAAAGCTACAGAAGTACAGAATGCTACATGCCTACATGGCTCTATAGTTTATACTTTTATACATGCAGTCACTAGTCAGTGGCGAAACGACCGCCCGACACTCCGGCAACCCCTGCTATGCGGAAGGGGATGGGGGGGGGGGGGGGGGGTGCAGCTGCGGCCTCTTAGGTACGTTTCGCCACTGCATATTATCCACTGTTACCAACACGGGGTCTATGATAAGTTTGAGTATAAAAGTACAATAAAAACCGATTATTGGAAAATAACTGTTTGCTTAACTTCAGTTCTTAGGTTGCCATTTTTAGATTAGATTGCTATGTTC